AATTTTACTTACAACTAAATTATTTCATTTGTAACAATTATAATTTGTAGCGGTATATAAAATTTATCACAAAAAAAAAAAAAAAATTGTCACAGTTAATCTACAATTGAACTTGAGAAATAAACAATCAGAATATAGCAAGCAGCACAACATAGGATTCCGACGAGGTTTAATCTTGTTAAAAGAGGTATTATAGATGATGCGGAATTAGCTGTTTGTGATGCTCGTGGCGAAGGATTGGAAGACACAAATCATGTGCTTGTACACTGTGGGATAGCTTGTAATGTTTGGGTTAAATGCCGGAAATGGTGGGCCACTTACAATGCTTTGCCGAGATCATGTTGGGAGGCTTTTGTGCAACACTCTAGTGTACTAAATGACAATAAGCTAAGAGAGGCACGGGATCTGTTGTGGGCTGCAGTGGTATGGTCCCTTTGGCTGGCAAGGAATGAAAGGCTTTTTAATGGCAAAGCTATTGAGGAAGGAAAGGTAGTAGAGCTCATTCAAGCGAGGGCAATGCATTGGATCAAAGCAAGGAGCAAGGTCTGTAATTTCACATTGTCTGATTGGATTTTAGACCTATGGAATGTTTGCATTTAATTTGATGAGTTTTTACGCGATTTCCATTGATAGGATTTTTTATTCTTCTATCGATACAGGAGTGAAATTGTGAAATAAAAAAATTTCACATTGCTCAAGAATAATAAGCAAAGCCTTCTAGTACTATATATAAGAAAATATTTTTTTGAACAATTTTGCAAGGGGTCGGATTTCAACCGTTACTCGGGGAGGAGAGATGCACTTAAACATGATTTGATGCCATCAAATCTAATGACGAAGGCCCAAGTGCATATATAAGGAAATACTTAATCTCACATTGCTTAAAAAAAAAAAGTATAACTTATTAGTACTTTACATAAATAAAGGCTTAAAATATATTAGATGCGTTTTTTAAGTTCCAAAGTGTTGGACTTGAACCAAATGATTTTATTATTGATCTTTAAATATTTAAATTAGTGAGTAGTTACTATATTTGAATTAAATAATATATATTTAAAATAAAATAAATAAATATGTTCTAAAATAATAATAGTAGTTTTATATTAAATTATATATTAAAAAAATTGTACACGGCACGAACAATGTTTCTGCGTGACCATAAGCAAACCTTTTGTGGCATTTGTTATGCATCTTCTTAAAAATATCCTCTTAATTTTCTCCTTGACTTTTTTTCGGAGATATGGAAGAAATTAATTTTCTCCTTGACTTATCTACCATTAACGTCATGGTTGGCGGCTTCCTAGAAAGGAATTTATGAAAATCGTAGAAAAAATAAAGTAACTTTGACTTTGTGAAATGTAATGAAATTTCAAATGTATGCCAACCGAGTTTACTGAATTTAATGAAAGGATAGGACATTTCTTTACGATGATGACTGTGTATACTCATTGTACATCTTCTTGGAGATTTTTTTTTCCTTCTCATTGGCCTGCCCCCTACTTTAGGGTTTTTTTTTTTAATGAAATATTTTATAGATAGTTTAGATAAATTTAAGAAAAGTAAGTTTGATATATAAAATAATCATTTTGATAATAAGAGTAACAAAAAGCAAAAAAATAAAAATAAAATCACATGGAGGAGAGGGAAAGAAACGTGAGGCAGAGAAAAAATTTCTAAGTAGAGAGACATATATAGCAACGCAAAAGAAGTGGATGAAAAAGGGAAAAAAGAGCCACAAAATGAGAAAATATAATTCATTTTATTTGATACATTGGGGAAACTAAAGAGTAGTTTTAAATCTTACAGAATATGGTCCCTATGATGTCTCCTTGGAGAAAATATAATTCATTATTTTAAATTATAAGTAAACTAAAAAAGTAGAGTTTTTTCTCAAAATTATTTGGACATGCATAAATTGATATATGATAAGTTGAATTCACATTCACATTCACATAAATCTGATGATAAATTTATATTATTAATTTTTATATACTTAATTCTAACCTTTTCTTTCAATTTCTCTTCATAACTAACCTTTATAGATTTTAATTAATTTGTTCTTAACTCCATATGATCTTAACATTTTTAAGAATTAAAATATATATTATAGTACTGTTAAGAATATATTATTTTTTTGTCACCTTTTTTTTTTTGAAACCAAATTTTAATTTTGTTTTATTAAATACCATGTCATCATCTATGTCATCATTTAAGTAAATTTGTGAGACATAACAGAAGTTGATGAACGATAGCATGTTAAAATTAAGGTTAGTGACTAAATTTATAAATTTAAAATTAAAGGCTAATAACTAAATTAAAAATCATAATAAAAGTAGTGACCATTGCTATAGTTTACCCAAGAAGAAAATACAGAGAAAAATGAAGTTAAAATAGCATTTTAAAATTAAGGTTAGTGACTAAATTTATAAATTTAAAATTAAAGGATAATAAGTATAAATTAAAAATCATAATAACAGTAGTGACCATTGCTATAGTTTACCCAAGAAAAAAAAAACAGAGAAAAAAGAAGTCAAAAAGAAAAAAAAGAAAAAAAAAAGGGGGACTAGATGAGAATCCAAGGTTGAGAAAGAAACCTTTTCGAATGAGAAACACGGACAGGAAAAATTAACGAGAGGTTAGATCAAGTGGTAAGAGACTTGTTCCAACTTAAATAAGATCTCGAGTTTGAGATTTTGTGTACGTAGCAGTCCCCGTTGGAAGACTTATCTATCATTTTCAAGTGTGCGACGCGGGTCGGGTTCGGATTAATCAGGGTAAAACCTCGGGTACCGGGGAAATCAAAAAAAAAAAAACACGGACAGGAAAAAGAAGCGAATGAGTCACTGAAAGCTACAAGCCATCCGCTTGTCCCAACTGTTCTGAGGTTAGTTTTCATGGCCCCTTTTTTTGACGTAGTCTTTCATTAAGTCTTAATAAAAGTCAACTCTTTCTTTTAATGTTATAGTATGTAGTAGTTATACAATTATTGCTCATTTTATGATAAGAAAAAGGGTAAAATTAATATATTTTTAATGTTTGAATGTTTAGATTTTTTTTTTCTTGTTTGTAATAATATACTAATTTTTGCACTAGAAACAGAATCATAGACAATTGAAATGTTTTACAATTTCAAATACATGCCAAGGCTTATTTTTTTAGTGTTTAAAATCGCAGGACGTTTCTTAACAATAACTGCGCATATTCATTCATAATTGACTGGTATTTGTTGTGCATCTTCCTGAAAATATTCTCTTGACTTTCTTTTTGACTTTGCTTGCTACGATATTTCCCTTTTTTTTTAGGCGAAATGGAAAATTTAAGAAATAGGAAAAATACAAATGAAAACAATTAGTAAATCAAAATGAGGAGGCAGAAAAAAATAGCTGAAGAAAGAAAGAGATACAATACTGCATGAAAAATTCAAAAAATCACGACATTATACTAATTAAATTATAGTAGTTGTAATGTTTTTTTGATAATATTCATGTGATATTATCATAGGTTTATATTTTGAAATTAGTAGTGTAAGTCATTCTTTTAAAATTTTTTTAAGTAATTATTTAAAATTTTAATTTTTAATTAATATTTTTCAAAAAAATTAAATTAAAAACTTTATTATGTAGATCATATATGTCAATTTTTTTCATTAATATAATATTTATAATCTTTTAATTAAAGAAAATTTATTTATTGATATATATTTAAAGATATTAAATTTTATATAATTAATAATTTAGCTAAATTTATTAAATTAATATAAAAATTAATATACATAATTTATATGAGTAAAAATTTTAATCTAATAGTTATTTTTTAAAATATTAATTAAAAATAAATTTGTAAATATATATTATAAAAATTTTAAGAAAACAACTTACAAAAAGATTTTATATTTTACATATTACTTTACATAATTAAATAAAAATTTTATTATAAAATAAAAGTGTGGTGAATTATTTTAACTAATAGAAACAAAAGTATGGATCGAAGTATCGAACTGAAACCGTAATAAAATTTCAAATGCATGCCAACCTAGCCAGAGCTTCACCAACATTAATGTTTACTGTTTTTTATTATAGGGCAATACCACACATTTCTTGACTATGGCTATGCGTACTCATTCATAATTCATAATTCATAATTGAGTGAGTGGCATTTGTTATGTATCTTCATGCAAATATCCTCACGACTTTCTCATTGACTTGCCCACTATTTTAAGGTCGTGTTTGGAATGCGATTGTTTTAGAAAAAGAGTGACAGGACATTTCTTGATGATTATAACTGTTCATACTCATTCATAATTTAGTAGCATTTGTTATGCATCTTCTTGGAAATATCCTCTTGACTTTCTTATTGACTTGCCTATAACTTTAAAATTCTTTTTTGGTGTAAATGAAAAATTTTATAAATAGATTAATAAAATTTTATAAATATTAGTTTAATACACAAACTAATCATTTTGATACATTGTAAGATTATCAAGAAGCACAAAAAATAAGAACAAAATAAAATAATTTTTTTTAATTGACAATAAATTTTTTTAAAAAAATACAATTCACTCTGCACTAATTATACAACAACATTATTATATATATGCACGGCCATCTCTTTTGTTTTACTGGTGCATGCCTTTTGCAAAATGTTGTCCCTTCAATAATGGATCTACGGTAATCAAACTTTATATCGTCCATCCCCACACCGCACTTTGCTTTTCGTTTTTTCCTTTAAGAGCAATAATGTATATAGGTTAATTAAACTTTATATCTCTGTCCCCACACGGCACTCTGCTTTTCGTGTTTTCTTTTAGTCATCCTGCTTTCGGGAAAGGTTGTTCCCTGCTTTTACAAAAGATTGGATGAAGTAGAAAGGCTTTTCAATTGTGAAAAGAGTAATGATCTGCGAGACGATTTTGAGGGACGATTTTGGAAGATGACAAGTGAAAGCAGGGTCAAATTGATAATTGCTGCTGAGACTACTGCACTTGTCGTCCTCCGTTTCGTCCCCAAAATCGTCCCGCAGATCATTACTCTTGTGAAAATGAAATGGAGCTATGACAAGTTATGTCAATACAGTGTAACATAAGGGCAAATTAGGAAGATAATTCATGGGGGAAAGAGAGGAATCCAAGGCAAAAAGAAAAAACTTTGAGCTCTGAGATATACAGCTGGCAACGCAAAAGAAGTGGATGAAAAAGAAAAAAAAAAACCCAAGAACTTAGAAATTATAATTCATTATTCTCAATTATAAGTAGATTATATTTTTTTTGCCCGGAAAATAAGTAGATTAAAAAAATAGAGTTTCTTTTTTTTTTTTTTTGAAAGGCAAAATATTTTAATTATTGGGGGTACAAGGGGTACCCCAACCCCTATACAAAATTAGGTGATTGTGTATATATTTACCCTCTTACACCTATACTAGCGTGTAACTGAGTGTAAAGGCCCATGGTCATACCTCTTCAATTTTTTGCCATCTGTCATCCTTTTTTCTTGCTGTAGTTCACCCTCATACATTCAGTCGAGTTTAATATCCAATTGGAGAGGGAAAAAAAACAACCTCCCCGTTTGCCTTTTAACCAGTGGAAGGCACGTAGTTGGATTAACTCAAATAACCTTCCTTCCTTCTGTGCTTTCCCTGTGAATATTTGCTCATTCCTAGCCAACCAAATTGTCCACACCATAGCGAACCAAATGCATTCCCAGCCTTCTTTCACCACCTCTGTTTTGAGTAAGAAGCTGTGTTGCTCAAACACTCCCCAGCAATCTCTATCAAGTGCAGTACAGAGACCCCACCACTGGTTACATGTAGACCATAAGTTGTATGCTAGTTTGCAATGGATAAAAAGATGGGCGGAATCCTCCTTTTCCACTTTGCAAAAAACACATTTACTTTCTGCAGGGTCCTGAATGACGCCCCTTCTTAGCAAGTTTCCTCTTGTTGATATCTTATCTTGGATTAATTGCCAAGAGAATGCTGCAATCTTGCTTGGCACAATTGGGTTCCAAGTCCTTTTGAGAATTGACTGTCGTTGCTGTCCGTCTGGTTCCATCGTGAGTACTTTGTAAGCTGATCTTGTAGAATATTTCCCATCTTTGCTATGGGTCCATAATCGCAGATCACTTTTTCCTTTTTCCATCGGAGCATCTTGGATATCTTTGTAGAGTTCAGCGACTTGTTGCTCTTCCCAGCTGTATAATTCTCTTCTCCATTTTATGTCCCACCTCCATTTGTCACTGCACGAATCTCCCATTTGTGAAATCTTGTTGTCTTTCCCTGTAGATAACATATAAAGTCTGGGATATTTATTAGCAAAGCAGGGATCCCCGCACCAATTATCCCACCAAAAACTTACTCCTGCTCCCCCTCCTACTCGTAATTTGAACCCTTTAACCAACCATCCCTCCTTTTCTCTATCTGCACTATTTAATCTACAAATGTCCTTCCACCATGCAAAACCCGAGCCAACCCCTTCCCTTAACCAATTGAAGCTATGTTCCCCTCCTATTCCATACTTCTCACTTATAACTTCCTTCCACAATCTACCCTCTTCCTCTATTAACCGACCCCACCACTTTCCCAATAATGCTAAGTTAAATTTCCTTAGATCTTTCACTCCCAAGCCGCCATTTTCTTTTTCCCTACATACCTTCTTCCAGCTCACCCATCTAATTTTTTTCCCTTTCTCAGCCCCTCCCCACAGGAAACATCTTCTAATTTTATCTAAGGCAAGAATCGTACCTGATGGGATCCAGTACATCGACATCCAGAATACGGGCAAGCTAGACAGCACTGAGTTAATAAGAGTTATCTTTCCACTAAGAGATAAGAATCGGCCTTTCCATGTAGACAATTTTTTTGAGAAAACATCCACCAATGGCTTCCACAAATGCAGCTTTCTATGACTTCCACCAATAGGGACTCCAAGGTATTTAAATGGGAAATTACCTTTTCTGCAGCATAACACCCATGCCATTTTCTCAAGCCACTCCTCATTCACCGCAATACCCAGGAGTTGACTTTTGTTGAAATTAACCTTCAAGCCCGAAACAAGCTCAAATGATCTCATAATGCCTTTCATTGCCCAGACATTTTGCTCCGTTG